CAAAGCGTTGTGACTGTGCGTTTTCACTAACCATTGTTAATGAAGTACTTTTTCAGCTAACTACGATAGTGTAAGAGCTAATAGTACGTGTAATAATAAAATTGTAAGAAAAACTTTCAGAGAGAGATGGGTTGTAACTTTCCATCACCTACTTTGGCATTGTACTTCTGAATTATTTATTCCATAATGAAATTACTGACATGTGTTAGTGAACCGATGTGTCTAATGTTGCGTGCATTTTATGGAACTCTTTTTTAGAAAGCAATTAAAGAGAAATTAACTCATTTAGAAAAAGTAATTGCTTCTTGGAAAATCGAGTTCAGTTTCATGTCATGAATTTTTCGTCCACTGATGAAATATATATATAATAGTGTGTACAGGAAATTAATGGTATTGGCATTTTATGTTTACTAAAGAAGACTGTGGGACGATAGGTACCATGGGTCACACTTTTTCTTTAGGTCCTAATGTTTCTAAAATCAATCAGCAGGATGTATCTAATAATTGCAATGCAGCATCAACTTTATCGTTTCGATTTTAAAATTCTTTGTAAAAAATCTTAAATTGTCTAAGTAAAACAGTATTGTTAATTAGCCTTAATGCTTTTTCATATAAAATTAGTGACATATGTACCTACTTCAATATTTTACAAAATTCTATAACTTCTTTAGGAAGCTGAAAGGGGTTTTTGGTCCGATTTACTTGAAACTAGTTAAAAAAATTCAATCTCTGTTGGGTGGGATGAGTGGTGATGAAGAATTGCAATGTTTAAACGGAACATATGTTATTTGTGGTCAGATTTACTTGAAACTTGGTCTTAACGTTCTCTCATTTAACTTCTACCTATCTCGACATTTTAAAAAATTCAACCTCCAAAGGGGGAGGAAGATGTTGCAATTTTTGTTTAGGACATATTTTATTTGTGGTTGAATTTACTTGAAACTTCGTACATATGCTATTTGATATTATTATTCAAATGAAGAGGTTGCAACTTTTCCATGGGGTATATTTTATTTGTACTCGGATTTACTCGAAGGTTGCTCATTGTTGAAATTAAGCAAATACGTGTTTTGGCAATTTTTAAAAATCAACCCTTAAGGATGATATGTTGTTGCTACGTTTGTATTTGAAATCTAAGATGGCGACATTACATAAAATTAAAACGTTGTAAGGGTGAATTGGGAGCTAAAAGGTTTTATGGAGAAAGAATATTAATTTCTGGGAGCGAAGCCGCGGGGAAAAGCTAGTT